TCATGCATGAACATTCAAGAAAACAGTAGTCGCAAATATTAAGTTTATTTACTATTGATAATAGTGAGATGTGTGTAGTTCTACAAGATGTGATATTACCGGTATATCAAAGAGTATTTGTATTTTCTCATGTCATGCGCAAAAAATACATATTTTCCTAATTTCGTTGGCGAGATTTAAAATTCTTAAATTCACTCGATGAAGCAGTAGAATTAAAATTCTCACAATTGAACATTGAGAGAATCTTGCTCGAGTTTGACACTTTCTATCAACTTAATTACTGCTGAGATACAGTGTATCATATCCAGCTACGTGTATATCAGTGCTCAAGAATTCTGTATAATTCGTCCACTAATTGCTTTTCCTTGATTAAACTGTAGTTTATTTTCTGTATTATTGTGAAAAATAAATGTACCAACAGTATGAAAATTATACAGTAATATGCAAATTAAGTCAATATGCAAATTAGATGCCATGTGAACATTTTAGGCTTACAATTTATGTTACTATTTTCATCAGATGATGCACAGCCCGGTGACATCATTATCAAAGAAGTCTCAACTGACACAATTAAAGCCATGTGGATTGCGTATGGGACAGCGCAGGGGTACAATATTAAGATACAAGAGAGTGGATCCGATGATGAGTTAGCCATACAGTGTTATGCCGCCAATGATGGAACTGAGCATGTGTTTACTGGACTCACTGCTGGACAGTTGTACACTATTACACTAGAGATCTTAGGATCTGATAATAATCCAAATGTGGAAATTAGAACTTGTAAGTAAAAGAAAGTATTCTGATCGTATCTGAGTTTAGTGAGTTTACATTTGTATGCATTCTGATATTTATGCTGTACTAAGCACATTACTGACTTCGATTGAATGGCATAATTATTCCTGTCAGAATGTTGGTCCAACATTTTGCTCGTTTTTAGCTCCACTGTTAACTTGTAGACTAAGCGTAGATGATCATATTACCGATTGTCTGTCAATGTCAATTTTGTTTTCTTTTTTGTCTAAAAAACAATCAGCTGTATGGCTTTCTTGTTTACCACAAATGTACCATGGGTGGTTATCTGTTTGAGATAGAATCTTTTAATTTAGAATTGTATCTTCAGTTTTGGTGAGTATGTTTTGTCAATTTTGGTAAAAAATGGTTACTAAAGTAGTGTGGATAATATGGCTTCTACTCCCACAAACAGGACTTCTTTACCCACTATGGTACAGATTGTGCATCACTATCAGCAAAGCGTGCTGTAATTTTTCGATCACTCCTGTCCAAATGGGCATACTTTTGCTTTGTACAGTTACATTATTAAAAATGGTGCATTTTCAAGTTATTTCTTACTTGTCCAAGTTTGGTAGCGTTGAAGCCTATGTTTGTAAGGGAAATCATGCAATTTTGTTTTCAGAAATTGAATCCGTGTGCTTTCAAACATTGTAAAGCATATTTTTTGACAGACCCAGAAAGACCTGGCAATGTGTATGTAGGAAGTCTGACTGCAACTTCTATCAGTATAGCTTGGGACCCCGCATCCAGTGGTATAGTCCATGGCTATTCAGTCATGTACTACCCCTCTGAAGGCATACCAATGCCCCCTATAACTTACACAAATGATGATGATCTGATCCTTCATATGACTATGCTTAGACCTGAGACAACTTTCAATATTGTGATCACATCATTTGCTGGTGCAGAGGAAGACCAACAGATCAGTATGCCAAGATATACAACACAGAGAACAGGTATGAACCATTTCACCTTGATTACCTTTAACCAATCAGTGTTCTCTATCTAATTACACATTTGAATAATATCACTATTGAAAAAGCATATCACATGATTACTTTTAACAAATTAGTGTCCTCTATCTAATTACACATTCGAATAATATCCCTATTGACAAATCATATCACATGATTGCTTTTAACCAATCAGTTTAACCAATCTAATTACACATTCGAATAATATCACTATTGACAAATCATATCACATGATTACTTTTAACCAATTAGTGTTCTCCATCTAATTACACATTTGAATAATATCACTATTGACATATCATATCAAATGATTACTTTTAACCAATAAGTGTTCTTCATCTAATCACACATTTAAATAATATCACTATTGACAAATCATATCACGTGATTACTTTTAACTAATTAGTGTTCTCCACCCAATAACACATTCGAATAATATCATTATTGATAAATCATATCACATGATTACTTTTAACCAGTTAGTGTTCTCCATCTAATTACGCATTTGAATAATATCACTATTGACAAATCATATCACATGATTACTTTTAACCAATTAGTGTTCTCCATCTAATTATACATTTGAATAATATCACTATTGACATATCATATCACATGATTACTATTAACCAATAAGTGTTCTTCATCTAATCACACATTTAAATATCACTATTGACAAATCATATCACGTGACTACTTTTAACTAATTAGTGTTCTCCACCCAATAACACATTTAAATAATATCACTATTGACAAATCATTTCACATGATTAAACTTAACCAATTAGTGTTCTCCATCTAATTACACATTTGAATAATATCATTATTGACAAATCATATCACATGATTACTTTTACTAATTAGTGTTCTCCATCTAATTACAAATTTGAATAATATCACTATTGACAAATCATATCACATGATTACTCTTAACCAATAAGTGTTCTTTATCTAATTGCACATTTAAATAATATCACTATTGACAAATCATATCACATGATTACTTTTAACCAATTAGTGTTCTCCATTCGAATATCATTATTGCCAAATCATATCACATGATTACTTTTACTAATTAGTGTTCTCCATCTAATTACACACTCGAATAATATCACTATTGACAAAAAGTGCTACTACTCTTAGAATAACATCAAACTCCATCAAATTGGTGTAAAGAAAAAACAAACAAACAAATGTTCCCAAAATGCATGTTGCTTGTAAAATTGTATTGGTGACATTTGCCAAACTTTTGCCAACCGGTGTCTGTTAGTACACACACCTTAGGCACATTGTACATGTTATTCTTCTGAAATATTTATATTAAAATAAATTTTGTGTGTGTTTTATAGACATCCTATCGCCATTAGAGGTAATCATCAGAAAGTATACAACAAGTGAGATAGACATCATGTGGGGAAGAAAGGAGAACGATGAGAGCTCAATATACTTGATAACACTCAACGACAACAATGGTAATGAGGAAACTACTGCCCATTCACCCACAGATCCTTTGGAGTTTTCATTCACATCACTTACTCCAGGTTCACTGTATATGATAGGGATCTCTCTCACTATTGACGGTGATGTAACCACTGGCGAAATATCACAGAGAACAAGTATGTATTATTTTTGCATTTATTAGTCCCCGTTTGGACGCAGTAGTATTATCCGTGCGTCCGTGTGTCCGTCCGGACCTGTGTCTTAGACATGCCTGGACCAATCACAATCAAACATCACACATACATCATACATAATATTATACATATGCACATCAATTTGTTTTACGATCTGATTCAAGATGGCCGAATGGCGGCCATTTTTGTGCAGAAAAATCATCAAAAACAAGCATTTCACGACTGTTACAGTTGGATTGTGTTCTGACTTGGTATATACATTAGACATTATGGGACCTTGATGCAAGTCATTGTGTTTTTCAGATAAGATTCAAAATGTCCGACTGGCCAAAGTGTCAGAAATAAGTACAACACGTAAAAAACAATCCTAGTAAAAAATATAATAATACTCGAGGATTTAGAATGATTAGTAAATTTCATTTATATTGAAGGCGCAACTTCTCTGATTTTGACACAATAATCAAATATTGTCTTAATCTTTGCTTGAATTTTCCTTATAACATATTATTGAATGGAATTGTTGATTCTCTTTCACAGCGTAAATCACCACTTATTTCTGTATTTATTTATTTCCTTAAGTTCTTTATTTTTTGTTTGTTTATGAGTATCGGTAATAAAAATGTTTAAAAAAAGTTGAAGCATAAATGCAACAGTATTTGATACATCATAAAAATGGCCTGCTCTCTAAAGTAACTGTTTTATCAAAATTTTGACATAACAAATGCAGGTCAATAATCACATTATTGTTTTTTACAGAACCACTGGCACCACTTAATCTAACCGTGACTGACATGTCCGTTTCTACTATCGACTTATCCTGGGATGCACCGAGCACTGGTTTATTTGACAACTTCGTAATCTCATACTTCCCTGTGGACGGCTTGGATGCCTCGCCTCTAACCCTTGCATCACATGTTACTACTATGGCGTTCACTGGACTGTCGCCGAACCAGCAATACACGTTTGAGTTGTTCATTACGTCTGGTTCTGATGACGATATGACACAGAGTGACTCTGTGACTGAGTCTGTCACAACTGGTATGTATAGTGTATTATACATCTTAATACTGAGTTGTTGGTGAGGGCTTTTCTCAGATTGATGATGTAGTCTCAGTTTTGTGCTATTTGTTCTGATTTCGAAACATATTTTCAACCTAAATTTGAAATATATGTGCGTACTGTAACACCTAGTGCATCTTCTGATTTATTCCTTTCAGTATATGAGCCATTATACTTATTGACATTTTGCGCATGAACACAGAGACTTGAAACAAGTCACACGCAACCGAAGATAAAGTAACTGTGCTTATTAAAATATTTATTATTTTAAATTAAAAGAGACTGCGAGCAACGCAGCAGATCGTAAGCAAGAGCTTTTCAGTGTCTGGCATTTTTTATCAGACATTCGCATGCTCTGTGGCAAATATTGAAAAGTATGATGTCAAAGTCGATATCTTGAAAAAAGGCAAGGCGTTAACTGTAATGCTATGTTTTTGTTGACAGATTCTGCTAGTCCTGGTGAGATCGTTATAAAAGCTGTGAGCACCACATCTATATATGTCACGTGGGGCAGTGCAGAGGATGGGACGGTTTTCTCAGGTTACTTAGTAAGAATAGAACCTGAAGATGCTGAGCTAAACGTGATATTCAAACTACCGAGTGATGAACTAACTCATCTGTTTGATGGATTGACGCCTGGACAGGAGTATAATATATACGTGCAATTACAAGGTGTTAACGTTGAAGACAGTTTAACACAACGAACAGGTATATTAATCATTTTCAAAATAGAAAAAATTGTTTGTGCAAAGTCATTAAGTCTGAATAGACACATTGTATAGTACATTGTAAAAATGTCACCAGTGTACCTCCTGCCGCATACGGTACTCAACATTTTTTAAAATTGTTTTTGTAGTGAGATCTTTTTTAATCACTTGTAATGGATTTTTTTACACGATTCATGTGTTATTCAGACGTGGACCTCTTGTAATGTGCTTTGTGCAAAAACAGCAAACTTTAACTTCACCCGTTGTGGTGGCATGCATGTAGGGATAAATTATTCAATCAGTGAAACATGATCAGGTGTTTAAATTGCTAGGATGGAAACATCTGCATTTGTTTTTTCACTCTTAGTCCCTTTACCACCAAAGAACATAATAGTGACCAGCACTGAATCTACTAGCCTGTTGGTAATATGGGAACAGGCGAGCGGAGTTGTCCAAACGTATGAAATCTACTACGTACCAGATGACGGTGAAGAAATATATGCTGGAACAACCACTAAAGATGATATTACATTCACAGTAACAGGTTTGAATCCTGGTTCACAGTACGATGTCAGTGTTAACAGTAAAGTAGGCACTGGGGATTCAGCATTAGTCAGTGAAGCAGTCACTAGCCCTGGTACTACAGGTATGTACACCTTGAAATCTATCTTTATACTTCTGTGCGTGTGCGTAACGTGCATTTGTCAGAATATGAAGTTTGTTTGTTTGTTTTTAACACTACTCCACATTTTGTGATAAATTAAATTAAATTAAATTGCCAAAACGCTTGCATTTGACAATTTTATCACTATATTCTGTATTCTGTGAATCCCAGATCGAGGACAATAAAAGCAATTTTCGGTCTATGTGCTTCTAAAGGAGAGATTGTTTATGTCATACTGGTCCTATGTATTGATGAATTCTTGAAGAACAATTTTAAAGAAATAGTTGTAAGGGAAAGTTTTCATTAGTGTTAATATGTTTCACTTCTTCAGCTGAAATGGAGTCCAACAAAGTTATCATTAAACAATACAGTCTGGATAATATTGATATCATCTGGAACACTGACCTGAATCCCAGTAGTACACCTGGACTATTCCTGGTGTCTCTCTCACCGGAGGATGGTGGTAGTTATCCACAAGCTGTACAGAAACCATCTAGTACTTATGTGGATTATTCTTTCTTTGGTTTGATGTCTGGTAGACTTTATACAATAACAGTAGAAGAGGCAAATTCTGGTAATAATATCACTGCTACACAGTATACAAGTAAGTTTTATGGCATAGAAACCTGATATGATATGCTTAGCAGCATAGCAACCAGATGTGACATGTTCGATATCATAGCAATTAGATATGGTTTGAGTAGTAGCCTAGCAAGCAAATATGGTATGATTGGTAACATAGTAACCAGAAGTGGTATGCTTGGCAGCATATCAACATGATTTTGTATGCTTGGCAGCATAGCAACCAGATCAGGTATGCTTGGTAGCATAGCCACCGGATGTGGTATGCCTGGTAGCATAACAAGCAGATGTGATATCCTGGCAGCATATCAACTTGGTTTTGTATGCTTCACAGCATAGAAATCTGATCTTGTATGCTTAGCAGCATGCCACCAAATGTGGTATTCCTGGCAGCATAGCAACGAGATGTGGTATGCCTGGCAGCATAACAACGAAATGTGGTATGCTTGGCAGTATAGAAACCTGATCTTGTATGCTTTGCAGCATAGCAACCAGATGTGGTATGCTTGGCAGCATAGCAACCAGACATAGTATGGTTGATAGCATGACTGTATATTGTATTTATATCACTGCAATTGATTATCAATTTAACTCATTTTCAGAACCTGCAACACCGGGTTATGTGACTGTTACAAGTTACACAACTACAACTGTCACCATTGATTGGGAGGCAGCATCAGGAGATGCTGATGGCTACCTGATATCTTACATAGACTCTGCAGGTACAGAGACATCAGTGGGCATGCTAACACTACCAGCCGATTCGTTAGAATTCCAGGTAGACGGTTTGGAGCCTAGAACAGAATACATGTTTAAAGTAGTGACCTATGCTGGTAGTGGTTCTAGTCGTGTTGTCAGTGATCCAGTTACCATCAGTAATTCTACTGGTAAGTCACACTACTGTTTTCATTGCAAGAGATGTGTGTACTTCTTGAGTTTGTTTTTCAGCTAATATTGTCATATTCCATAATATACTTTCAGAGGAAGTGCCAGCTGATACTATCGGAATTCAACATTTTGATACAAGCAAGATTGAAATCTTGTGGTCAGAAGTTGAAGATCCAATGGTGACCGGTTACTTATTATCAATTGACCCAGCTGATGGTGATAATCCTTCTGACATTAGACCAACTTATATTGCTAAGGATCCCACTAGGACCAGCATCAACTATAGTTTTCTGAACCTTGTTGCTGGCAGGATGTATAGTATTAGGTTACAAATATCTGGACCTAATACTGTGTTGGTGAGTGAACAACGAACATGTGAGTGGATCTTTATTTTGAGAAAACAATTTTGCAAATTGCAATATATACCGCTATATAAAAAAAGTATTTTAATCATATCAACCGGTGAAAATTGTAAATTTTGACCATTCTCCTTGATATCTAGAAAAATAGTCCAGTGACCCCATTTTTTCAGTATTCTTGTGGTATTAAAAGTCATTGAAAGGAAGACAAAACTTAAATCAAACTTTCTGAAAGAACACTGCCACAATGGTGGATGACATAACTGTGGCATTAGAAACTCCAAAAATCCAGAAAAATTGAACTAAAGGACATTTGGATTACAAGTGGAGTTACGAATCTAACTTTGCCCCTCCAGTGTGGCCTCCCTTATTTTAATTGTATATGGCTGTCAAAGTGTGCATTTCTTTGTATAGTTTGGTTGTGTGGTACGAATTTGAATAAATTGTAAATAGTCTAAATACACACGTAATTAGCTTTCAATCTGAGACTATGCGCTGTTCAATTTAGCTTAGTGTTAAATACATATATTCAGGACACGTATAGTAGTCTGGAGGGGCATATACCTGTATCATTCCATTCATAACCAGAGGGTAAGGATAAAGTTAGGCTGGGTTAAGTGTAGTGGTGTCTTGTGGAAGACCCCTGAAATGAATAAGTTTCTAGTTTATAGAATATTTTCTAAGGTTAAATATAGTGATTAATTGTGCATATATATTAGCATATGAGCTTTCAGAAAATGTCTGTCTTGTTGGCAATTAGAAATGCGATATCACTCACTTGTAGAGCTGGTATCAGGTGCTGTATATTCACTCGCCTTCGGTTCCTGGATAATATGTGTCATTTCACTTGGTTTGTATAAGCGATATTGGGGAATAAACCAATTTTGGAAAAGCATAATACCCCCGGTATACTGTTTTCATTTGGTGTTTGACAATTGATTGCAAATTTTATGGAAAGGCAAGGTATTTATGAATGACAAGTTTACGTTTGTGAAGTTTCATCCAAATAAAATTTAAAGTGTTGCCAATTTACGTTTTACTGTACTTGTACATTAATCTGTATTTATTCTCGCCAACAGTGCCAAATCCTGTGGGTGCCTTCTTTGCTGGACAGGTTACCGCGACAACCATCTCTGTTTTCTGGGATAGTCAAATAGAAGGAGAGCTTACATCTTACAAAGTGACTTACAATCCCCCAGATGGCAGGACTGTGTCACCGACTATCCTACCGGTAGATGGTAATGGTTTGGCTGGAATCACACTGCAGGGACTCAGTCCAGACACTTCTTATATGATCACTGTTGTCACCATATCTGGAGGAGGACTGGATGCCACTACCAGCACTCCGAAGCAATATACACAGACTACTGGCAAGTTCATATTAATCATTTGTACCCATCATAATTCATGTATTCAGTGTCTGTATGAGCTTATAGACTACAGTCTTGGCATACCTTAACCCTGACTGGCTTTCAGTTTTCAAAGTTAATATTTTCTGTCAAGGATACATAAGATAAGGATATGCAAATTGTATATATATGTGTGGTAAAAACCAATGTGTCTTGTGTTCATGTGGTATGTCCCTCTACATGTCAATGTTTATGTACACTGGCAGTGTAGTGGTGGTTGCATTAGACTCGAAATTGTCATCTAAGCGTTAGGCCGTCGCTGATTGGCTGCTGTGCTGGAATGCCAATTTTTAGTTTCAAATACCCCGGCTTAGTGTTCTAGGTTTTTCGCGTAATTAGGTGTTCGTATGCAAGGGATTTTTGCACACAAAAACGACGAATTCGGCCGAATTGTGTTATCGGTTGGCTTAATATAACCCCAACGGACCGTATTTTTGTGAAAGATTGGTATTTTTGTCCTGATTTGTAGGAATCTGAAAAACGCGTTTCACAACTTGTCTCTTATTTAGTTTTATGCGTCATTCAAGATGGCGGCCCCCATATAGTAAATTTTATTATCACGGTGCGCCAGCTGACTGTGGATTAAAGCATCTATGGCGCCCTCATGGTATATCCAAACAATACAATTCATCTTTTGTTTTTAAGTTCAGTTGTTATACCTTCAGATAAACTATTTATAAAAGCATACACCTATGGCGCCCTCATGGTATATGTACAAAATTAAACTCATCTTTTGTTTTTATGTTTAGCTGCAATACCTGAAGATGAACTACTGATCAAGGCATACACATCTAGTTTCATTGAAGTCCTCTGGGCCGTGAGAACTGGGCCAGAAATCAATGGTTACCTGATAAGCATCGATCCTGCAGATGGTGGAAATCCATCACCCACATCTCAGAAATTACAGGCTAAAGAAATATATCGTTATAATTTCACTGGACTCAGTCCCGGTAGAGAATACACCATGAAAGTGGAAATCATGGGAACCCAGGACGAAGTGACGACTACTCAAAGAACTGGTAATTTTTAAGGCAGTTTGAGTTGAATTCAAATTGTGCACAACTGAATACTGACACTGTGCATATATGCAATGCATTATTCGAGAGAACTGAGTAATAATATTATGGTTCATTCTCAATGTTTTTGTGTATAGTTTATAATAACACGTTTAATTAATGTCATGGTAATTTACAAGTATGGACATCATTTAAAGGTGGCATACATTGTGAACATCTTAGTGAGTTATTTCACATGCAAATTCACTGACAGGGGCTATGTCATTTCCATTGCTTTTTTGGTGATCTGTCAGTGATTAACAAATATGCATGGAATTTTATTTTGTATTTTGGAAGATCCTGATTTAAAGAACACACTTAGAGTATTCTATAAAAAGTCATGAACGCATCACCAGCTAACAGATTTTTCCCCATTTATTTTTGCTGGCTGTGGGACTCCCAGTAGGCAATTTAAAATTGATGTTCATTTTTACAAAACATTATTTTCCAATGCGAATTAATCATAAATTAACCCAAATCTTTGATTATTTTCAGTTCCTGCATCTCCTGGTGTTGTTGTGGAAATAAGCAACACACCCACATCAATAACGTATACATGGGCACCTGCTATTGGTGACATTGATAG